GGCTTTTCCGTTCAGCCTCCGCTCCGAGGGGCACCTGGAAGGTTTCAGAGACCCATCAGCTTTCTTTAGGTGTGTTTAGGGCTCAGCCCCATGAAAACCGCGGTGTAAAAGGCCCTTTTTTGAGCCCCGTAAACCCAAATCAACGTACGTCGCCCAAAACACTCCCGCCTGACTCCTCGCTGCTGGCTCAAAAAATGGGATTTCTGCTCTGCGGGAATCTCCAGTATTTCCGACATTCCTGGATGCTGAGTCAGTGCAAAGGGCTGGTGCTTCTCAGAGAGACAAACTGAGCGGGTTTGATCTGGGGACACGCCGGTGAACCCCCTCCTTCGGCCAATGTGGGGGCACAGCCGCAAGGATCGTTGCAGCCGGGCTGCCCCTCGCATTAAGATGTGTTTGTGAATTTTTTTTTTTTTTGATGATTAAAATGCAGAACAAGAAGAAACAAAGTGTTGAAATGAAAAAGTCCTGCTCAGACAGACACATCTCTGGAAAAAAAACAGAAAAACAGCGATGTCAGCAAAGCTCTGTTCAGCAACTGAAAACTATTATCTTTTTTAAAAACAACAGCAAAAAAAAAAAAACCCAACTGTGGGCGGTTCTGTCAACAAAGCTCCTTTATCCTCGTGTGGGGCTGGGCTAAAATCTCACCAGTTTCCTCCTCTGTCTCTCATTTCTGGCCTTGGTAGGATTTAAACAAGTAATAATAATGTTTTTTTAATATACAAAACTAATTCATTCACCTTTATCTGGTATTTCCCTCGTGGTTTTGACTTACGCCAGCACATTAAAAAAAAAAAGTTATTTTCCGCTGCTCCCCCGCCTTAGAAGAGTCAGCAGCAGCAAAATCTGGCAGGGAAGCAGTCAGGAGGTTCAGTGGTTTTTGGCCAAAAGACGCAAATTTGGCTATTCCTGGGGCTGCTGGGGAGGAAGCACGAGTTGGAAAAAAATTAAAAGAAAAAAATGATTTTAAAAGGGGTGGGGAGAGAAAAAAGTGAGGGTGAAGGAGGTAGTTACCTCCCGTTGTCTAATTTTTTGCTTCTTCCTTCTTCCAAAAGCTGGGGCATGCATTTTGGGGAGCAGGGCTACGTCCGCATGGCGAGGAACCGCGGCAACCACTGCGGCATTGCCAGCTTCGGCGCGTACCCCCTGATCTAGAGGGGTTCCCTGCGCCGGGACGAGCTCTCGAGATGCCACCCTGCTGATCCGGAGTGCGCCCGGCTCTACTCCAGCCTTCCCTTCTCGAGGAATCCCGTTGCGTTTCTACGGAGAAGCGGCAGAAATCAGGAGCGAGCGCAGTCGGCTCGTTCAGGTGTCTCATCCGGCGTGACCACCTCACTCACCCTCCCCAGGAACTTATCCACTCGCACGGGATAATCTGTCGGGAATTATTTCAATTATTTAGGTGCAGGGCTCTCTGTTGTCATTGCTGACTCTTGCAGTCTCCGGCAGCTTTTTAGAAAATGACTCAGCTGCGTCTTCAAAGCTCTTGAGACACTGTTTTGCTTCCTCCTCCTCTCTTAGAAGATGGCTTCTTGCAGCCATTTTACGTCCCGTGGTGCTTTGTCATGGTGACAAATGCCCCCTCCTGCCTGGCTGTCCTTCATGGGAACCCGGAGGATGCCCTGAGAAGAGGCTGGAGTGTGATTTCCCGGCAGCTGGAGGTTTGGACGGTGTTTTCAGCCCGTCTGCAATGTCGTGTGCATTTAACGTGTCTCCTCCCGTCCATGCCGCACTGAGGCTGCCCAGCTCAGCTCCATCCCAGGGCTGTATTTAAACCGTGTCTTCCCATCTCTGCTTCCCCACCGAAAAGTAAATAAATGTGATTTTTTTTTTTTATCAAGAGCTGGTTTTGGTCTGGTTGGTGCACCCCTAAGCGGAGACGGGAGCTCAGGTCTACCCAGTCCAAACCAGTACCAAGGCTCCGTGATTGGCCTCATCCTGCCTCTGAGCTCAGCACCAAGTCACAAAAACACAAAATTCATATGAAAGTGTGAGCCCTGCTCCTGCCTGCTGGCCCCACGAGCCACACGAACCACCGTGAGAGCCTTGCGACTAATTTCTGGGGTGCTGGAAACAGGAAATTTTTTCATCTGCAATCATTTTCTGATGGTATTGAGGGTCCTGCTTCAAATAACCCCGCGACCGGCACGGCAAGCCCGGTTCCCAGCTAAGTGAAAATGAAATCAGAGCATTTCCTCCTTTCCTGACTCGTGATTTGTCAGACGAGTTGCGAGCGCCGTGTGCCAGAGGTCCTGGGCGTCCTGGGCATCCTGGCAGTGGGGACGCGCTGGATTTGTCCCCGGCACCCCCTCTGCCCCACACACGTGCGCTGCCGGGGAGCTGAGGATCGGTACTCACCACCAGAAAAAAACCCTTTCAGGTACGTTGGGTGCTTTTGTATTTTAACACCCCTCTGGGAGGACTGAGCTTTGAGGAAGTAAAACTGAAGAAACAATATTTTTATGTTGACTCTGACTCCATTTTATCTCTAAACTCCTCCAAGCCCTCTCTGGGTAGTTGGATTCTATGTAGTAGCCCATCCTCAGGATCCTCAGGAGCTGGTGGACGTTGACTGGATAAAAAAGTGATTTTTTATTTTGTTTTTTTGAGTTGCTGGAAAACACAGGTTTGTCAAAACAGCCCTTTGACCAGGCGCTGCGTAAACCTCCTTCGGGGAGGGTTTCTTGGGCAGGGTGCAACCGTCAGACGAGGCGCGTGTCTGGATGTGTCCTTGCGTGTCGGTGTCCGCACGGGCAGGGATTGGGTCCAGCAGACTTTTCCCCCCTGAGGGAAGTTTCAGAGCCCTGGATGGGATTTTTTTTCCCATCATGCAGGGGTTGGAGGTTCGCAGCAGGAGAGCGGGGCAGGCAGCGCCGCTGCGGGGTGTTTGTCTGGGCAGGCGGGATGGGAGCTGTTGGCATCACCCGGTGTAGAAACCCCGTGCCAGCCAGGCCAGGTCAGGGATGTCATCACCGTTCTGCTCCCTCACCAAACCGGATTTGTCACTAAGGGGTCAAGCAAGGCTCCGGCTCCGAGCCCTCAGCTCCTGGTGTGTGCCGTGTCTCTCCAGCTCCCCAGTCCCAGCCTCGTGGGATGAAGCTCCCGGCCTCCATCGCCTTCCTGGCCACGCTCGCAGTGACACTGGGACAGCCTGACCCCGCGCTGGACTGGCCCTGGCAGCTCTGGAAGAAAACCTAGGGCAGGGAGTACCGCCATGAGGTAGGGGCGTCTCGCTGGGGAGGCGGAGGCGGTTCAGGGTGCTGACATGGTGGGTGCTGCTCTGGCGTCATCATCCGCTGCATCACGCAACGCGGAGAAGAGCTGGTGGCACTTCAAAGCACTGCTGGTCCCGATGGGGGGCATTGGCGGGAGTTCCCGACACCCTTTTGTGGGATAAATTGGGGTGAAATGGCCGTGGAGGCTGTGGCTACATATCACGGGGCTACGTTTGGTTTCAGAAAGAGGAAGGGGAGCGGCGAGCGACATGGGAGAGGAACCTGCGCCTGGTGACGCTGCACAACCTGGAGCACTCCCTGGGGCTGCACTCCTACGAGCTGGGCATGAACCACCTGGGAGACATGGTGGGTCCCGGCCATGCTGCGGAGAAGGGGGTTGTCTTTGTCTCTCGTTACCTGTCAGGTTGATTTAATAAGGAATATAAGTGGGTCAGGGGTGGAAAAAACAACCAGCAACCCTTCTCGGCCCATCCTCTTCTTGTGGACTCCAGCAACTGTGGACAAACTGCTCAGACATTCCTGCGCTCAACCTCCCGGCGTGAGGCAATCCGGCGTGAGGAAATAACTCCTTAATGCAGTGTTTGGGGTGCGCGGACTTGGTCCAGGTCATTACATGTATTTGCAAATCATCCCTCTTCAGTGTCCTGAGGTTGCAGTGTTGTTTAATGAAACAAACCAGCTTTTAGGGACCTTTGGTGCTGGAGTTAAGCTTTGTATTTTCTTTTTCTTGGCCTTTCCAATGAACATCTAGAAATTAAATGTAAAAAATAAAAAGCCAAGGACTCCACAAACCTGCTAACTCTTGCAGCTCAGACCGGTCAAGGGAAATCCCCTTCCACCTCCAACACACCCAGTGCAGGACGTGCCAGAGACAAGGAGATCACGAGCTGGTGTTTTCTTTTCCCAACAGACCAGCGAGGAAGTGGCGGCTTTGTTAACTGGGCTGAAGGTTGCTCCTCGCCCAAACCGGACCTCCACGTACCGACCGCAGCCCAGCAGCAAACTCCCAGACACAGTGGACTGGAGGGAGAAGGGATGCGTCACGG